ACCTATCATGATGACATAACTATTTTGTACGGACTTTTAGTCTCGTGGATGAGTATATCTTATCTTCGTTATATTTTTCTTTTTGAAGATCTTTAGAAGATGATGTGATAGAATATTTATCTATCTATCTATATATATGTATTTCAAGTTTCGTTTATAATAGGCCTTTTTGAATCTAGTAAAAAAAACAATATGGAAGATCAAAGTGATGTAAAAAAGCCATTATTACCACCAACTCTACCTCGTTGGTGGCGTGTATTACCACCTCTAGCTCTAATAATGATGATAGCTGCCATGGATAATTTAATTATAAATGATTTTATTGAATATCGTTATACGAATTTATATGAATTAAATTCTTCATCAACACAAAATAATCATGAGCTATGTTTAAATGCTAGTCGAGTATCGCATAATTCTACGTCTTCAATATTAACAACAACACCAAAATATCCTATATCAACGACAATGTCACCGAGTCAAATAATTCAAGAATCAACTGCACGTTTAAATGTTATTCTATCACTTGCTGCAACTCTCCCTGCTATTTTAACATCAATTTTTCTTGGTGCTAATTGTGATCGAATTGGACGAAAACCTTTAATTGCTTTACCATTTATTGGTAAAAGTATACGTTTTCTCATTTTAACAGCTGTTGCTTATTATGATCTACCGAATATATGGATTATTCTGTCAACTATGGTTGATGGTCTTTTCGGAACAACAGCTCTAACTATTTTAAGTTCATTTGCTTATGTAACTGATTGTACAAATGAAAAACTACGTACATCAGGTATTATAATTACAGACGTTTGTATTGCTTCTAGTCGACTTTTACCATTAATTACAATGGGAATATATTTACAACATCCAAGATATGTTCAATCAATGATATTTACGTTATTATTAAGTCTAAGTGGTTTTGTTTTTTGTATTTTTCTCCAGCCAGAATCAAATTTGAATATTCAGCATTTAAATATCTTTCAACAATTGAAAAAATGTGAATTTAAAGCAATAACAAAAATCTTCCGAGTGTTTTTTGTTAAACGTCAAGGACATAAACAAAGATCATTATTAATGTTAGTTAGTATTCATCTACTTTTAATTATTATGATATGTGGAAGTCTAGCTATGTATTATCTTTATTTATATGGTGTGCCATTTTGTTTTGATTCATTTAGTGTTAGTTTAAATAGCTCAGTACAAACAGCTGCTACTATTTTATTAACTATACCATTTGCAATATTTCTTGCAAAACACACTGATCATTTGGTGTTGCCAGCACTTGGCTGTTTAGCTCTCATGGTACAATTTGTTTTATTTGCAACAACTCAACAAAAGTGGATTCTTTATTTAGCTGTTGGTATCGGTAGTGTATTTACTGTATTAGTACCAATAATACGTTCACGTATTACAAAATTAGTTGAACCCGATGAATATGCTGTAGTTTTTATACTTGCTAGTGTATTCGAATCAGGTGGTTATTATGCAATTAGTGCATTAACAAATGAAATTTATCAAATATCATTAACATTTTATCCAGGTCTTGTTTATTTTTGTCTCACAATAATTGGTGTCATAGCAATTCTTGTGATGTTGTATGTATAGGAATTTTTATTGATAGAAAAAAAACAATACATTGATTCGTTTTTCTTTAATTTAGAGTTTTATACATTTTGGAATATCGGTCATCAGATATGAAGAAAGGTTCAAGTTTAAACGAATAGTTTATTGAAAGATTTCGTTCATTGTTTTTTAAACTGTAAATAAATGAAAAAGAAATTATGAATTGTCGTAATGTTACGGTATGTAACATGAGCAAACAAAGTGAATGACAGAAATCTTAACTTCTATTAATGATCCTTATCATAGATTGTGATAAATAAAACTGTCTGTCATAGTGATGAGACTACTTTTCTCTTTGTGGAATTCAATGCTTCATAAAAATTATTCTTCATACAATAACATTCTAAGATTTGTTCATTTATTTAGATTCATGACTAATGAATCCTTAATTACTAAATTAAGGAATTCAAAGAACTGTATCAGAAACATGAAATTATAAGGTTACATGTACAAAAGTTAAAAACGTTGGAAGCTTAGATTAATTTTATAGTAAAGTAGTTGATTGTATTTTAGTAGTATTTTTCAATCTATAATGTATTTCAATCAATTTATGCATTTAAAACTTATAGACTTTTAATGTTTCATTTCCGGATCGGTCACTTCATTGTTTATGACATTGAATGGCGTCAGTTGTCAGACATGAGACGTTAACTGTATAATACATAATTGCATTTATGGATGTGTTGATACATAATAACAACAAACCTTAACTTTGTGACCTCGAAAAACAAAATTAAGATTAATGAAGTTTAGATATATTTTCATAGATTTTTCTTTGACAACAATAATAGCTTTTGTATAAAAAATTTTAAATAAAAACTGAATATACCTTCATCAAGAATGAAAAGAAAAGAAAAGAAAAATTCATTCGTCAATTTCTAATTGCTATAAAACTAGTTCGCATGGGGAGTCATCAACGGAAGAAGGAAAGACTACGGAGACTTTTACTACCAGTTGCCATGAAATTTACTTGCTAATTATTATAAATTGTTCACTTTTAAATATTTGAATTTATTTTATAAGTATTCATTATTCGTTTTCTATGAATGTTAAATATGGAAATTATAAGAACTCTTGAAATTTCTTATTGAAAATATTTTTCTAATATAATCTAACTTAATTCTTTTAATAAATTGTTTTTGTTTTTTAGTTTATACAAATTCTACTAGTCAATTGTTGAATAATTCCGTAAAGAATAAGTCAAATTTCAATTAGACAATAAATCATGCAGAAGGAATTCAAATGATTATTATTCAACACATTATCAAGAGTTACCTGGAATAACATGATAGAAAGTTAATAAAGCGAAAACTTCTTCCGTATTTCTTTTGTTATTTACCTATTATTAACAACTGAAGTGTTTTTTCTCTTATTCCTTTACTTCTATTGATGATCATAGCAATGTTAGAGAACTCTCTGCTTTTCTTTAGCACATCGTCTTCTTTTTTCTTTTTTTTTTTTATTTATTCAGCGATTGTTGTTGTTTTTGTCTGTTAAAAAGAAAGACATGTTTTATATGAAAGATTTTTTTTCTCTTCTTTCTTTATATAGAATAATAATGTTATATCTTATTTCCATTAGAGTGAGTCTTATTTCAATCAATAGAAAGACGAAAACAACGAAGACGTTTCTTTTTTTTTGTTATCTTACTTGTCAATATGATTGAATTCTTTCGTCGAGAGCTTTTTTTAGAGATAAATATCTGTCATCATCAATGTCAGATATAACTATATCTAGTCTGCCATTGGCATATTCTTCATTTATAAATAATTTTTTTTATTCATTTTAAGGTAAATAATTATTGATGATATAGGGAAACTTTTCTTTTTTTCTTTCTTTTATTCAATATTTTACTCATCTGAACATTAAAGTATACAGAAAAAGACAAGTTGTGCTTCATGGAGCAAGAAAATTATTTAGTCAAGCTGTTTGTAACTATGATGATAGAGGTATCTTGAGTAAAAGTCTTACAAGAATTCTATTATGGAATAAGTGACAAAATAAAAAGGATAAAGAAGAAAAAAAGGGGTCGATCTATTTGTAGCTCACATCTTTTTTCTTCGCATTCGAGTGTGGACGCATAAGTAAGCGTCGATATATATGTGTGTTGACATCAGACGTAATTGCTTTAGCCTGTATGTTTGTTACGAACGAAAGCACACATCATCACCATCATCATCACCATCATTCGGCTTCTTTTATCTCTTTAATTTATCCCTCTACTAGTTATTGCCTCAAGCAGATTTTGGAAAAAAAACATGGTTTTGTATCATTATCTTTCTATCCTAGATTTCTAACATCATACATTTTTAAGGCATCTTAATGCCATTGTGCTTTTTTTATCATCATTGATCCGCTATTTCCTATCAAAAAGTGTGAACGTTCTTGATTGTTTTGATGATGCAAGTGCTATGGTTGATCAACACACTTGAAGACGAATAGGCGTAGGCTCATGTCTCAGACAATCAACTTCTGTTGTTGTATTCAATAGGAGTCCTAACTTGAAAACATTTTTAGCAATATATATATATATATATGAACGAGTAAAAGAGAATCATCAGCATTTTTCTATGTCAAGCAGAACGAGCGTTTGCACGCTTACTACTATTCTGTCGTGCTCAATTATGTGCAGCACAATGTGCAGATGTATAAATAGTATAGAGAAGAAAAAAAAGAAAAGACAGAAGAAAAGAGAAAAAAAATGAGAGAACCCATTTCTCTCGCGTAACACTAATTATTAATATGGGAGACAGACAGTAGAGTCGGAACAACCACTGCGGAGAAGAAAATCAAAGAAGAAAACGAAGAAGAAGAAAATGTAATAGATTTTCAGCAAGCGAAGAAACAAGAAAAATCTCATCGAATGCAAGTAACAGAATAGTAGTATTGATGGTCTCATCTATCGTATTTGTGGGCTATTTAGGCGATCAACTTCAGTGTGTATCAGAAAGAATGAGGGAACGAGAAAGAAAGCGAACATATGGAAAAGAGAGGCTATTGCATTCTGTATCCGTTATGGCAGCATCCCAGATCATAATCAATTCTGATCTGATATAGACAACGATAGAAGGAATCTCTTTCTCTAGATGTGTTCGACGCGTGCGTCCTCATTGTTCATACGCAATTTGTACCTACGCATTTTCTTCTCGTCTGTTTCTTGCTCTCTCTCTCTCTCTCTCTCTCCCTTTCCCTGTCTCTTTCTCTAGCTCTTTACATCTATGCGTCGTTGTCGAAGACGTATCACATCCTATTGTGTCTATTTTCCATATACAAAGCAACTACCATAGAAAATTTTTCTCTTTTTCTACTGTTGCGTCGAGTTCGATGTATTAATATCAATGCATAGATATCAACTTGTTGTCTTCCATGAATGAATGGCTATGAGTATATCTACAAACAATGTTGTACAAAGGTATAGACAAAAAAAGAAGAGTTTTAATAGAAAGTTAGAGAACTCTTACAATTGTATAAAAATGACACATACTCGATCATTCTTTTCTCATCGACTTCTTCCATTTCCTTTTTTGTTTGATGACATCTAAAAAAAATCATTTACTTATGATAGTACCATCGATATATGTCAACCTTCGACTACATATCTGTCCCATTAGAAAGATCAAACGAGGTGGAAAAGAAAAAAAAGAAAAGAAAAATGCAATTATGTATTATAAGCTGATTTTCATCTATCACCTTATTCAGAATCGATATGTAGCAGTCTTTTCTCGTTTTTTTTTTAATCTAGTTAATGAATGAGACCAGTTGTCAAAACATTCTTCGATCGTAGTTTCATTCCTTCTTTTGTTATGCTAGTTCTAGTAACAGTACATATAAGCCACAAGTGATGGCATCAACAACAACAACGTCAACATCAACATTAACAAAAAAAGAATCGTCTCCACCAACATCAACAGCTAATACTTATGTTCGATGTCTTCCACATCCGCCTACATATCATTTAACAATTGCTGATTTATTTGATACTTCAGCTGGTGGTGGCAAACCTCGACTTGAACGTCTTCGTGAACATCTAATTGCTGAAGGACGTCTTGAAGAAGATGCTGCATTGATGATTATTGAATATGGAGAACATTTATTACGTTCCGAAAATACATTAATCGATTTAGAAGCTCCAATAACTGGTAAAAATTATGTCAACAAAAGAAAAAGAATTTATTTTTTTTATTCAATAATTCTTCTATTTAGTGTGTGGTGATATTCACGGACAATTCTATGATCTTATGAAATTACTTGAAGTTGGGGGTGAGTAATCTATTTTTAACTTTATGTCAATCGAATTATAACAAGAAAAAAAAACAAAGGTTCTTACTTTTCCGGATAACGCTAAACTGTCAAAAATAATTTATATATTAAAAGATTGTCTCATTCTTTTCTTTGTTCTTTTCATCAAGGTCCACCAGCTACTACACGTTATTTATTTATGGGTGATTATGTTGACCGAGGTTATTTTTCCATTGAATGTGTTCTTTACTTATGGGCGCTTAAAATTCATTATCCAACAACATTTTTTCTACTTCGTGGAAATCATGAATGTCGACATTTAACTGAATATTTTACCTTTAAAAGTGAATGTAAGCTTGTTTTTCTTATTTATAATTACATTTCAATCTTTATTGTTAAAGGTAAAATTAAATATACAGAACGAGTTTATGATGCATGTATGCGTGCATTTGATTGTTTACCATTAGCTGCTCTTATAGATAAACAGTTCTTTTGTGTTCATGGTAAGTTATATTTGAATGAAAAGTTTTTTTTCTTAAATAAAACAAAAATATAAAATATTTCAATAGGTGGTCTTTCACCAGAAATTCATACATTAGATGATATTAAAAAATTAGATCGTTTTAAAGAACCACCGCCATATGGTCCAATGTGTGATTTATTATGGAGTGATCCCGTTGAAGATTATGGACATGAAAAATCTCATGATGAAAAATATTTATTTAATGCAACACGTGGTTGTTCATATTTTTATACATTTAAAGCTGTTAATGATTTTCTTGTTCGAAATTGTTTATTAACTGTTATACGTGCACATGAAGCACAAGATGTTGGCTATCGTATGTATCGTAAATGTCCACAAAGTGGTTTTCCATCATTAATGACAATATTTTCTGCACCAAATTATCTTGATGTTTATCAAAATAAAGCAGCTATACTTAAATATGATACAAATATAGTTAATATAAGACAATTTAATGCTTCACCACATCCATATTGGTTACCAAATTTTATGAATGTTTTTACATGGTCATTACCGTTTGTTGGCGAAAAAATAACTGAAATGTTAATTAATATATTAAATATATGTAGTGAAGAAGAACTTATAACGGATTTATCAAATGATCAACAAAATGATAATGACAATCAATTTCGTCGTGATGCTATACGTTCAAAAATACGAGCTGTTGGAAAAATGGCTAAAGTTTATGCATCATTACGTGAAGCTAGTGAAAATGTTTTAAATTTAAAAGGTCTTGCACCTGTATCACCAGCATCATCCACAACAAATCTTACTGAACTTATTGATGACGAAGGAGATACTACAGAACATCGAAAAGTACCAACTGATTTTTCATTTTCAACAGCTAAAACATTTGATCAAATTAATGAACGTATGCCACCATGGTCCGATGCTGAACGAAAACAACGTTTAACAAATAGAAATCAAACAATAAATGATGATCCAATTATACATAATGTTGATAGTGATAATGAACAAGCAGAATCAATAACAAATGAAAGCGACTCGGCACATCATACACCTATTCTTTTAATACAAAAAGAAGATGAAAAAATTCTCAATGGAATCGATAAGTAATGAAAGCTTTTTTTTTTCTTTTTCTTTTCTAACCATAGAAAAATAAACTACTTTTGTCGAATAAAATAACATTTTCTTGAAATTAAAAACCCAGACATCCTGAATAGTTCTTCTTTCATTTTCGTTCATTAGCAGACACTGAATCATACGACAACATAATGAGAAAATCAAAAAAAAATCCTTATCAGAAGACTCGAACATCGATCTTCCAATAGTTTTCCCAAGTATTCTAGAAAAAAGTACATTTTGTCTAAAACAGACTTGTCGCTTCTTAACTATCTATACTCATAGAGATGTTTCCAAAAGAAAGTTTTAGATCTTGAATATCTTTCATATTGCAAACAACTCTTAATAATATTTATCTATAGCTCTTTTTGTCTTTTATTGAATAATGAAGATAAATTTTAAGGATGTTTTTTTTTAAATATATTTAGTATTCCAAACAAAACATGTGAATCTTCTTTTTCAAAATCAAAAACAGATTTTTTTCACTCAAAACAAAAATCTATCTCATCTTCAACCGGTGATCAATATACTGATCTTGAACATACTCAAATAAATTCTGATAAACATCATGATAAACATGTATCTCATCAAAAACATTCCACCAATATTTCGAATCATTCAACAGCAAGTGGTGGTTTTTCAATAAGAAATCCTGTTAGTTCATTTCGATCATGGGTATTGCATAAAAAATCTTCTAGAGAAGATTCAATAACAAAATACGGAAAAATCGATACATCTCCAACACCACGTAAATTATCTTTGAGTTCAGATACAACAAAACGAACTCGAACTAATTCAGCATCAGCTACAACAACATCATCTGTAATTAATAATCCTCATCAGCAACAACAACAACAGCAACCAACTCAATCAAATTCTTCTTTAGCTACATCAGCAACACGTGTAAAGAAGAAATCATCATTTACATTACGTAATACAAATCCAATAGCATTACTTAAACGAACACCGGAAACAAATCATAATCAAACAGATTTATCATCAACTGAACAAACAGGAGCCGGAGGAGGCGGAGGAGGTCCGTTTGGTTATTTAAAACATCTTGTGCGAGGCGACAGTAGTAGCAGTGAAAGAAAGCAGTAGTCTGTTGTGTGTTTGTGTGTGTTTTTGCTTTTCTTTTTTTTTTATTTGTTTGTTTCGCTGTTGTTCGTTCTTTCTTTTGTATATAAGAAACATACTTGTTTCAATCCGAAGATATTCAATGATTAGAAAGCAGACAAACAGCTGTTAAAAAATCAATCGACACTTGTGTTCATCTAACCTTTGAGCTCATTGATCATTAACCTTTAAAAGATCAGCTGTTCTTATAAACACAGATCGATTTGTGATAATAATCATTGACCTTTTCTTTTATTCATATGTTTATTGTAAAAAAAACCGAATGTCATGTGTTATTTAATCTAGCTAAAAGAAAGAAAAATTTATGAGTTTATAAATAGATATATTGATAACAAAACGATATCATTTAGGAGAAAATAATATGCAGATGAGAATAATTTAGTGCCATTGAAAGAGACAAAAAAATATAATGATGATGATGATAAATGGTTGATAAATGTTTGTTTTTCTTGACATATATATATATATATTTATATACATAGATACGAAAAACAATAAATATTTTTTTGTTTTTTCTATCTTATAAGAAAACATAAGGCGTTGAAAGGATTTATGCTTTATTGTATAATTATTAATATAATGCATTTCAAAATAACCAAATCAATATATTTATTTGATGGCATGTTTTAAAATTATCTGTTATTGAAAATAAACAAAATCGTCTTATATTTTTTATTTTTTCTATCTGCCTCACTTTTAGTGTATATCATTTTTTAGCTTTATATTTTTCATTTAAAAGATTAGTAATAAGTTGTCCTATTTCTCTAAGTACATTCTGTAATGACATTTTTTTTGAAAAAAAAATGCCATCTTCATCATTAATAACCTCATGTTATTTCCTTTTTGCTTAATAAAATTTGTACTATAAGACGTATTTCGTTAGAAATTAGATTAATAGAATATAGAAAAATACTTCTAATGAAATAAAAAGATATGTCTATCTTTCTAATCTCACTTCGTTTTATTCATTTACAAATATTTCATTATAATCTCTCGTTCGAGACATAAAAAAAAACAAATATTCATTTAGTAATTCATTTTTTTTCTTGCTTTTATCTGTGCATTTTCCACATCATCAATTAGTTTAACAATTTTTTCATAATATCTTTCCTTAGCTAATTGTCTTCCATTTCGTTTATAACTAACATTAACGTTAATATGTTTATAACCATGATCAACTAGCCATTTTAATCTTTTATAATTTCCATTATTAATTAAACGTACAATATATAAATCGAGTTCAGTTTTGGCTTTTATACGATTTGTCAATACACAATATTCTCTTAAAGTTAATTTTTTATAATCAGGATGTTTAGCTGATAAATCAACATTTTTATCAAGTAATAAGCGTATTAAATCATTACTTGATTGATAATGTAAAGCAGTAACAAGTGCATTATCATATTGACCTTTTACACTTGGATCAGCATGGCGAAATAATAAAAACTTTGCTGCTTCATTTTGATTATATGTTATAGCTGTTAATAAAGGTGTTGTTGTGTAGTTTTCGTTATTTAATTGCTGTATATTAATATCGATTTTCCAATGTGTTAAAAAGTAATCTAATAAACGTATTGAACCAAGTTGTGCAGCATAAAATAGACCATCTTTAGCTAAATTACGTTGTCTTGTTTCATTACGTAGGTGTTGTATAAATTTATCACAGCGTCGAACATCATTTAAGTGTAATACACGAAAAAACCGTTGTTTCAATGATGAAAGTTTCGATCGATGACGAATAAGATCAGCTAAATTATTATGTTTTAATTCACGTGCATATTCATAAGCATTAAAATTCTTTTGAACTAATTGAGCAGTTGACGTCGAAGATACTGGTACCATGATCCAAAAGAACAAATAAATATTAGATTTGTTTTTGTAATGTTTAAAGAATATGTATACACTATTTTCAATAGAAATATTAGATGCAGGCTCGTGATGAAATGGATTTTCAAAAGAAATGGATCAAATTTCTAATGATATAGTTTCTATTCTGTGTCCGATGTACTTCGAAAGAATTTATTAATTTTAAATAGGAAAAACCTAATTCTTTTTTATGTGCGTTAAATTATTGAATTTTACGTTGGATATGATAAATTTTGAAATGCTCATCAATTTAATAATGTTTTCTTTTTTGTTTTTGAGATTCAAACTATTTGTGAATAAGTTATGATTATGTTAATCTAGAAATTATCAAATACACTCGGAAAGATTTAGTAATATTATAATTCAAGATAATATTTAAAAATAATTATTTCTATTATTTCCTGTAATATAGAATGGAGACAGTTTACTGACGTGCCATTCTTCCATAAAACAGTAATATGTCATACAACAGTTACGGAACATAATTTATGGATTATTTTCTCTTAAGTATATATGGAGAATTATTGTTAGTAACTGCCACAAACTGTCATTAATAGATTGATTGATCGTCATAGTTTCATATACTCCAGAAAACTAAAGTAATAACAATTTTCTTTTAGCTGATATAAACAATAATGTCAATTGTTTCATGTTCTTTTTCTCTTTGTCAATTAAGGATACTTCTGCCTCTTTTTTAATCATTTCTAATTCTCGAAGAAGATACAACCGATCAGATTGAAATTTTCTATCACAGTTAGATCATCTGGAATAAGGATACACGTGGTCGCAGAGCATATTGAGGTATTGACTTTCAGAACTATGTAAATTTGAATAGGAAAATCAAAAACAAAAACGGTCAATTTTTCTTCCAGCGAATATTTCTGAGTGTCTGTGGTGAAAATTCCAGTCTGATAGGACAAAGTTAGAGGACAATCACTAGTAATCAAGATTTAAAAAATGGTATTTTGTCTTACGCTAAGTAAAACAAAAGAATTTCTTAAATTCAGTAATTCTATAACAGTAAGCTTTTTAGATTCGATTTATGTATCTAATGTACACGGCACTTAAGGCTAAAATACCTTATGCGTAGTTCGAAATCAAGTTTTCCGTGAAAAAAAGATTTAAGGTTGAAGTACACTTAAGTAAACTTTTTTATCATCATTAAATACGATATAATCATATCTTTAACTATTATTGTGGTTTTGCTTCTTTTGTTTTAAACTATATACTCTAATTTACAACATAGATATAAATATGCTGTTGTCATGCATATTTAATGCTATATCAGAAAAGAGAAAAGAGAAATAGAAGCGTGCTGATTTTAAATATTCCAATGAACAGCTTTGCATGATTTCGTTTGATTAATTTTAAAACTAACTAATACGTTCTACTTACTGAGTATGATTTATTCAATGGTACTTCCATTTCAAGTAAAACTTTAAGAAATGTTTCATCATTATGTTCAATAACATAAAAAATTAATGGTTTACTTGGTCCATCATTATCATCATTTAATTCATATTGAACAATATCAAATTTTGCTACTATATATTCAAAACGTCGAATATGACCACCTTCAACTAATCGTATACAATCAAGATATTGTGCTTCATCATTTTTTTTATTATTATTATGATCGACAACTGATTTTTCATGTGCTATTGTATCATCCATTTCAATGGAAAATAAATCAAAAATATAACAACAAAAATCTATGATCTCACTATTTTTTTTTCTCAACTCTCACTCAATTGTTCTATGTTTATTTAATTTCGTCTGCCAAGCAACGAATTTTTTTCTCTACTATTCATTTTGTGACCGCGTAAAAAGGAACACCATATATCTTATGTCAATAGAAAAAAAGAATGAAAGAAAAAATTACTTTTACAAGGTATGATGTCAATGTTTTGTTCTCATTGTCAGATCACAAGTATGCATTAGGTCAATATTTGTGTTTCATTTAATTCTCAAATTTTCAATTGATCTCAATACAATAAATAAAATTAAAATTTTGTTTTTTTTTTCGTTGGTGAATTAAATCAAAATTTATTCAATGATTTTTACAGAGAACGAATTGATTATGATTTTAATTCTGTAGTATCATCTCATTTTATGCTATAGTAATGACTTATTTTCTTTAATATTCTATTTAACTAAACGAAAGAGAAAACATTTGTTCAAGCCCGTAAATAAACCAAACTCTTGCCTCTTAAGTTGGATCATGAGCTCATGTTTTTCCACAAGTAAATCTGGACTATCAATAAAAACATCAAGTATTTCATTACAAATATCATTGAAATCTCAATCAGATCAAGATTCATCTCTACCATTAAATCCATATATGAATAAAATTCATGAAATAACTACACAAAAAGAATTTCATGATTTAATACATGATACACTAAATGTTAATGTATTGATTATTTGTGATTTTTATGCTAATTAGTGTCAACCATGTTTACAAATTGCACCTATTTTATATAAATGGGCATTGAATGATTATAAGACACATGTTATTTTTATGAAAATTAATATTGACAATAATAGTGATTTATCAAATAATATTTCAATAAATGCTTTATCAAATTTTGTTTTATTTAAACTAGGAAAAGAAATTTATCGTTTAACAGGAGCAGATTCAACTAATCTTAAAAAAAATTTGATAAATTCAAATAACATTATTAATCTTATTGAAATATTTTGTAATCAATGACAAATTCTAAAATTTAGCTATAAAATTATTATTGAAAATTCCATGAACAAAAAGTTAACTGCTTGTTATTGAGAACTCTGTTGTAATGAAACATATTTGTCATTGACTTATTCATATTGTGTTGTTTACGCAAAACAATAGAATAGTGACATAACCAGAAAAAAAGTTGTACGATAAACGCATGCATTCTCTGGTAATGTCTGTAGAAGGACTGAAGTTTCTCTCGTAACATTTCTAGATGTAATTCAAGCCTCTTTTTATTAATCAGAACTCAACCGATTGTAAGAGAAGAGAGGACAGCAATACAGTATATTTTTCACATGGCAGGTGTACACATAAATTTCTTGTTCGGAAATGGATTTCTTTTTCTCAGAAGTGATTGCGT